GTATAGCCAAATGTATGTATTTGTTTTACTTCCTATTGTTTAACCTTATATTGTCAAAAAAGACAAATTTAATTCTGTGATCACTGTAAATATTGTCTCTTAAAAGATTAATTATATTATTGTATAACCTTATATTATATTTGTACTTCAATGTCTATGGAAGACTGTCGAAGTACTATATATATATATATATATTATAGCAATTGCCATATTTTGTAACATGCCGTATCACTACCTATTTATTCAATCGCAATTGTAAATACCTTTTAACTATGTAACATTGTGTAAAACACCTACAATACATTGAATTTTTTATTTCTTTCACCCGTTTTTTATTACACTGTTTTGGTTAAAAGAAAAAAAGTATATAAAAATTCAACCATTAAGTAATTTTGATATAATACATTTTGGTAAAAATATTAAAAACTTCAGAGGTTGTTTCATGAGAAATGAATTACCTATGAAATCATGGGTTAATGAATGTGGAGTTCTTAATTTAAATAATTCTACCCAAAATGGTTCTCATTGGGTTGCATGGAAAAAAATTAACAATAAAAAAAAAAATATATTTCGATTCATTTGGTCAATTCATTGATGCACCACCAAAAGAACTTGTAAAATATTTGGGAGTAGATTATCTTTATTATAATGTTAAACAATTTCAATACTTTAATGATCCACCTATAGAGGAATATAAAAACTCACAGAAAATTTGGAGTGTTTAATATAAAAAATATGTGTGAATTCACTAGTTTATATATTATGATTGATGTTTTATTATTAGCAGATATAATAGACAATTTTAGAGACATTTCTTTAAAAAATTATAAATTAGATCCTATGTGGTATTACACAACACCAGGATTTGCATGGGATTGCATGTTAAGAATGACAAATGTAAAATTAGTTTTATTAACAGATGTCGATCAAATGTTGATGATTGAATCTGGGATCAAAGGTGGCTTGTCTCAATGTAGTCAAAGATATTCTAAAGCAAATAATATATGTATGGGAGATGAATTTAAAAAAAATGATGAATCATTGTTTTTACAATACTTGAATGCAAATAATCTTTATGGATGTGCAATGAGTAAATATTTACCTACTGGAGATTTCAAATGGATTGATAATCTGAATGATTTTGATGTAATGAATATTTATGATAGATCATGTAAAGTTTATATTTTAGAAGTCGATTTATCTTACTCTAAAGAACTTCATGATCTACATTCAGATTTCCCTTTAGCACCAGAAAGACATTTTGATAACAAACAACTCCCAAAATTATTAACAACTTTGTATGATAAGAAAAAATATATAATACATTATGAAACACTAAAATTATATATTAATTTAGGTTTAAAGATAGAGAAAATTCATAGAGTGTTAGAATTTAGTCAATCTCCTTGGTTAAAAGTGTATATTGATTTTAATACTAATCTTAGATCAGAAGAATATGTCAAATTAATGAACAATAGTGTTTATGTACCATGATGAATGTTCGAAATCATGTTGATATAAGATTATGTACTAATAGATTGAACCTAGAAAAATTAATTGCGAAACCAAATTTTTACAGAAAATTTAGCTGCAGTACATATGAAAAGAACAAAAATATCTTTCAAACAACCAATATATATAGGAATGTGTGTTTTAGATTTATCTAAAATGTTAATGTATGATTTTTATTATAATATTATAAAGAAAAAATATGGAAATAGAGTTAGATTGTTATATACAGATACAGATTCACTAATATTAGAAATAAAAATAATGATTTTTATCAAGATATTAAAATTATGTTAGATCATTCTGATACTTCAGATTATCCAAAAGATAATATTTATGGTTTACCTTTAGTTAACAAAAAAGTTTTTGGAAAGTTTAAAGATGAGTTAAGTGGAAAAATTATGACTGAATTTATAGGTTTAAGATCCAAATTATATTCACATCGAATCTTAGATACTGAAAAAGAAATTAAAAAAGCTAAAGGTGTTAAAAAAAATGTTGTGGAAAATAAAATATGTTTTAATGATTTTGAAAATTGTTTACTGACAAAAGAACCAGAATATGTTAAACAAAATGTATTTAGTACTAAGAAACATGATATTTTTACTGTAGGACAAAACAAAAAAGCTTTAAGTGTTTATGATGATAAAAGATTTATTTTGGAAAATGGTCATTAGCTTGGGGATATTAAAAAATAAATATAGAAAGAAATGATTTTGTAAACCATCTCAATACACTAATTAGAAATCAAAATCAAAAATATTAGAATTAATATGTCTAACTACAAATATAATAATTATAAGTTTTGTAAAAAATATTTTACAATTAAATTTATCATTTAAATTTCAATAATTAATAAAATATGTTTTGTGAAAAAATATTGTATTTCGATTTTTAATTATTAATAATATAAGTTTTGTGAAAAATATTTTAATTATTATTACATTTCGATTTTCTGATCTTTTTGCACATTGTTTTCTTTGTGATCTTTTATTGATATAAAATATAGGTGCGCTAGGAATGGTACATATATACTACTTATAACTATTAACCTAAAGTAAAAATTCTAAAGTTGGTTTTATTTTATTATAATTGGATTTTTACTGATTTATCAAAAATGAAAACTATGTATTCTAAATTTTGACTATATTGTATTCTTATGAACCCCGAGTGGAAAACAGTTTCAAGTGAATGAAATGGAACAAGTTAGATGGAAAAAATAAATAATTTTAATAAATTAAGAAACATAAACAATATAATTAATATAATATATAATTAATGTCAAGTGACATTATATAGAAACTATTATATAATATAACTTATACACATTACCAATGTTTTTATAAAGACAAATTAGTTTTAAATTTGATATCAGTGGGAAAGGTAGGTACACACTACACATATTAGTAAACATAAAGTATAAAACAATTTAACACACAAAAAACTAAAATTTACTTGAAAATATTATTAATTTTAAATCACAAATTAATAAATTATTATTATTTTAAAAAGTTCTTTTTTCGAGCTTTTTTGTTGGCGAAATTGTCAATTACTTGATTTATATTCAAATCTTGAGTTCTGTTATATTTAGTATACTGATATTTGTAAGTCTTTCTTGTGCCATAGAGTTCCTCAAATAATTTTTTATAATTTTGAGCTTGGAAAAAGAACGCTCTGATCATGCTACTGTGACAGGTAATGATGTAAAAATTACACAAGCAGTTAAAACATCTTTGTACAGAGATCCTAAATCATTTTCTAAAATACATTTTGCTAGTTCTACAATAGTTTTGATTTTTGAGAGTTAATATTTCTTTTATTGATAATACTTGACTTGTAAAATCTGAACTTATATCTTTTTCATAAAATATAATAAAGTCATATGTTGCCTTAACAAGATTTTCTTCACTGAATTGTAACATTATCTTATCATTATCAATTTATCAACAACTTCTTGTAAGCCTAGAAAACGATATTTAAGTTGTACTAAAGCTGTATCAATGACAGGTAAAAAAAATTTAACTTTGAGATTATCTTGTGCTATATCATATCGTTTATCTCCATCTAAATCACCGAAAAATTTTTTAGAAAATACTTTTCGTTTTTTAATGTTATTGACTGGTGTCTGGTATGCCCCGACTGTTACACAAGTCTGTGTCTGAATTAACAAGACACTCGTAATTATCTCTTAGATTGTTAATGGATGTAATAGCCGATTGTAAATATTCACATGCAATATAAAGATTTGTTTCAATTAATTGCATTTTCTTGGAAACTAAATAAAACGGCCTTAAAATGTGTTCCCATATAAAAAGAATTAATACAAATTCAAAAGATTCAAGCTTTTTTTCAGACCTTTAGCTCTATTATTTTTTTCTTTTTATTACTAGTTAAAATTATACTTGTTAATGATTTGAATACATCTTTTTATCGAAACTTCAGGGCAAAAACTGCTTTATGTCTCGACTCCCATCGGGTGGTACACACTTTTTTTAATACAATTTTTGCAACATCATCACCTAAGGCCAAAGTTGCCCAACTAGGAGCATTGCTGCTAAAATATAAAAACAAATCTTGAACAATGTTAAAAAAATTTAACATTTTTGGTGTGCTTTTTGCCTTATCTGATAACACAAGATTAAAATTGTGAGCAGCACAATGAACAAATGACGCATTAGGAATTATGTCTGAAATTCTTTTTTGAACACCTGAGAAACAACCACTTATTACAGAGGCACCACATAACCTTGGCCCCTGCATTAACTAATATCCAAGTTGTGAGTATTTAAAACTGCTTTAATTAAATTAACATGTCCCTCAGCATCATGTTTATCTAAGGGGTAAAATCCTGAAAATGATCCTTTGATTTCTAACCTTAGATTCTTTATAATCAACAATTGTGTACCGAAAAATAAAACTGACTTGGTCAATCTTGGTTATATCTTGCGTAGAATCAATTATGATAGAGAAACATTGAGCTGATCTGATTTCTTCACATATCAACTGTTGCAAGTTAGTAGCTAATATTTCAATTAATTCGTTTTGAATTTTCCAACTCAAATATTTAACTCGTGATTGTTCAGTGAGTAGTAAGCTATTTAACACAGGATCAAACTCAGCAAGAAGTCTAACAGCCCGAATAAAATTTCCTAACTTTTAAGAGTTAAATATTGAGTTAAATTGCACAATAGAATATAGATACTACAATAATTAATTTATAATAGGTATTACCTATTATGATAAAATTTACTCAATTTGGAATTTTCTACATTAATTAAATTATATTTCTTTTTTAATAATTTCATAAATAAAAACTTACCACTATTCAGTTCAATGTTATTTTCATTAACATTATCTTTTTGCATATTTAAATTATTTTCAAAATCATTTTCACTCAACAAATCTAAAATCACTGTTTCTGAACGCTGGTCTGTAAATGCTTCATTTTCTAAAATAATAAATCAATAGGTAATTCATAACAGGAAAAAATGGAAATAGCAAAAAATAATTACCAGAAATATTTGTTTTTCGTAGAAATTTGTTCATAGAACCTCTCATGAGATTCAGATTTTCAGCCTTTTTTACTTTCGCTTTACGTTTTTTAGAGCCACTTTCGTAAATTCTTTTTGATGACATATCAAAATATAAAAATAACAAGCTTAACGGAAAAAGAAATAAAAAACGTCAAATAAAATAAAACATAGATCTTCAAGACTGAAGACAGCAAACTGCAAAAGTGCAATGCATAAAGGAGTGATCAGTTTGTCACGATTTTGATAGGAACAATTTCTTATGAGTCAAGAGACATTAATCAAAAACATTAGTCAATAGTCATAAACTATTAATATTTATACGTATCAATTTTGCAGTCGAACCAGGTGCATACGCAATGCGCATCTATAAATAAAACAACGTACGGGAAAAGTACTTTAGTGCGGTCGACGAAAAGTAGGCCGCGATCGTCACGCACTTAACGGCCGTTTTTCGTAAATCCAGGGGTTCTACGTTTGGGAGTACTTTTATTATTATTATTTTTTTTTTTTACTATAAACGTTAGTACATTACACGATTTGAAATTATATTAGGCAGGAAAACGTTTGGAGACCCATGCCGTAAAACGGCCGGTAGGCGCGTGACGATCGCGGCCTACTTTTCGTCAACCGCACTATAGTGATAGTGATAAGGCACAATCAACACGAACGCTTCCCCGCAGTAAGGCATTTGGCTGGCTTATCATAAAATAACGTTATCATATTCTTATCATTAGAATTTCAAATTAAAGTTTTTTATTTTGTACGTCATTCTGCAGTTATATTGTTTTAAAACTATTTTTTTTTGTCCTATATTAAAGTAAATAGATTGAGTTACTTTTCTGTGCATTTATACAGTTCATACTAATTTCAAATTGTTATATCAATAGAAGATATCTTTTGATTTAAAAGGTATATATTAATATATTTGGTATATTATAATATATTATAGTTTTATAAATTCTTTACATTTGATGAATATAAATTATACGTCCTAATGTATGTGGTAGATAGGTAGTGGAGCAAATGAATAGTGCTGTAATGGAGACTGGAGAAATTAAACATAATTACTTTATTAAATATTAATTAGAAAAATGAAGTTGTTTTTTTTACCTCTTTTTATTATCTCTTGAAAATGTGATTTATAAAACAAAGATACAACAATTATGTTGATACACTCAATAGTCAATCATACTAATCATAGGTATGGTCAAATGTCTGGTGAATATTAACAAATTCATTGTTTTGGCTATCAATTCCATCACGTAAAGAATTTGTTTCATTTACAGTTGGCTTATGAATATCATTTTTATTTATGCAATCTTTGTTTTCTTGTTGAGTATAAACGCATTTGGCCAGTAATTTTTTTTGGATATTTACATTTTCAACAGTATTAAGATGGAGTTATTTTGTTTTGTTTAACATATTTATAATATCATCCAATTTTTTATTAAGCAACATGTCTTCCTCCTCACTAACTTTGCTTGTAGCACATAGACTACGGATAAGCTCTACTTTATTAATAATTTTTCCACTTATGCCAGGTGTACTAGGTGTAGTACATTTCATAGAAGGCTGAGAAATTCTCTATCAATTCTTCTTGTTCTCCGATAATTGTATCTTCCATATGTTTTAAAACTATTAAAGGATTGGGTTGTTATAAATTTCTAACAATAAAATGTTAAATTATTTTTATTCTTTTTATTTATAAAGTTACTATTAATTTCAAATTGTAAAATGTAAATACATATAAAAAAAAATAGTATATTATAAATTATTTTAATATTACTGTAGAGCTAGAAGATATCTTTTGATTTAAAAGGTATATTAATACATTATTAATATATTTGGTATATTATAATAATATTATATAGTTTTATAAATTCTTTACATGATTTAGGTCATAATTTAGGCCAGTAATTTTTTTCATAAATATTAAATTACAGTTCATTCTTTTTTTTATATACATATTTTATGTCTTTAGAGCAGACAAATATTATAGCATTTTATAGCAGACATATTATATTATATTATAACATTAATGTAGAGCTTGAAGTGATTACATTTCATTTAAAAGGTACCTATGTATTAATATATTATTATATATATATTATATATTATTATCAAATATTCAAATGTATTATTTATGTTGAATTTTATTATTAATTAATAGGTAGCATTTGTTTCATTTACATTATCATTTTTATGCAATCTTTATTTTCTTGTTGAATATAAAGTCATTTGACCACTAATTTTTTTTTTTTTTTGATATTAATAACAGGGTCAATATGGAGAAAACTGTAATTAAATGTACAGATTGTGAAGCAACATTTACATTAAAAAAAAATATGTATGCTCATTGCCGTAACATTCACAAAATTGAACATTTAAGCAAAAAACCAAAAATGTCTCAATGTCATATTTGTGATGTAAAATTTGTGAATAAAAAGTGTTTATTCCAACACATGAAAACATTTCACAATAATTCTACAAATGAAAAACATACTAGAATAATATGCCCTTATGACTTATGTGAGGAATACTTATTTACATCTCTCAAATTAAGAGAACACTTGTGTGTTAAACACAATATTACAGTAGAGCTGGAAGAGATAACTTTTGATAATTTAAAAGGTACATTAAACTATTATAGTGACTCATTATACGTCTCATGTTATGATAGATTTCCTATTCATTTTTTCATAATTTATAGAATTTGAAACATGGAAGCAAAAAATAGAAAAAGAAACAGTTTCGATGTACGTATTAGATACTGGAGCAAAAAAATTGTTTAATGGAATTCTTAAACAATATTATTTTTGTTATCGCTCATTAAATTATCGAAAATCAGGAAATAATTTAAGATTAATGAAGTCGATGGGAAGCAATAAAATTGGTAAAACTTGTCCGTCAAAACTTGAAACAACAATAGTAGAAACTAATGGAGTTGCTTCAGTCAAAGTAAAATACTGGAAAACGCACTGTGGGCATGCTCAAGAAATTGGTCGATTGAAAATTGATAAAGAGAATAGAGCAATGATTGCAGGTTCTTTATTTATATACATATAAATCTTATACAGAATTATTAAATAATAATATCGACGTTTGTCGTTTTTATGGTTTATGGCTATCAAAAACCTTTATGTGCTGTATGGTGAAGTACCTATTCAATAGTTAGTAATTTTACACTTTGTGGGCAAATTAAATGTTTTAATAATTATTATTGTTATCCTTCATTAAATATCAGTTTTATTTGTTAATTATTTCATGTTTTAGTTAATTGTGAATTTATTCTATGTTTTAGTTAGTTGTGATTTTATTATATGTTTTAGTTAATTGTGATTTAATTCTATGTTTTAGTCAATTGTGATTTTATTCTATGTTTTAGTTAATTGTGATTTTATTCTATGTTATAGTTAATTGTGAATTTATTCTATGTTTTAGTTAATTGTGATTTTATTGTAGTTTGTCATTATTCATTTGCTAAATTAAATTAGTAACATTTCTATAGTGAGTATATTTAAAAACTCCAAAAATCAGAATTAATACCATTACTAAGAACAAAACAGGGGTTACCATGCTTGGTGAATCATACTGTATAATACAATTTGTAACTAATATCAAAGAACAAACCTAATATTTATGTTGTATTTTTAATACTAGCTTATTTACCTAATTAATATTATTTATTTGTATAAAATATAAATATATGCAGAAGCACAGACAGGATTTTTTTTTGTAACGGGTTGTGCTTATAGTTTCCACCACTCCATCTATGTGCGCAACTGAATATATAAGTTATTATTATTCATTAAATTCATGTATAAAATGCATTTGTATTAAGTATAAAGTATTAAAAATTATTTCAGCTAAATTGAAGGAAGGTGTAACTTGGGAGCATATTTTGGATTTTATTCGTGAAGGTGAAATTACTGATGATACTAATCAACGAATACTTCTTCTTGAACGTCAAGATTTAACTAACATATCTCGTGACTTTAACATTAATTATGCTACAAGAAGACATAAAAATGATGCAGTCAGTGTTGACCTATGGGTCAATGAACTGAAAAATCAGCTTAAAGAAGATTGTCCTATCCTTTACTATAAAGCCCAAGATAAAGATGATAATTTTTTAGAGAAAAAAGATTTTGCTTTGATTATAATGACAAAATTTCAAGCAAAACAAATACTGAAGTTTGGTCCCAATAAAATTTGTATTGATGGAACTCATGGTACTAATGCTTATGACATTCAGCTATATACCATTATGACAGTGGACGAATATGGCACAGGATGTCCTGTCGCATTTTGTTTTTCAAATAGAGTACATGAAACTATATTTACATTATTTTTTAATCAAATTAAAACTAAGGTTGGCATCATAAAATCCAAAGTATTTATGTCGGATGATGCGCCAGCATTTTACAACGCTTGGGTCAATGTCATGGGACCTGCTGAACATAGGCTCTTATGTACTTGGCATGTTGATAGAAATTGGAGAGATAATTTGAGTAAGATTAGTGGAGGATCTGAAAAAAAATCGCTCGTTTACAAAACGTTAAGAGTGTTGTTACAAATGATATCTATTGATGATTTTAAAATTTCTCTAGATCAATTTATAAATGATTTATTAGCAGACAAAGATACTGAAGCATTTGGATCATATTTTGTACAACATTACTCTAAACGATCAGAAGTCTGGGCATATTGTTATCGTTTGAGACTCGGCATTAACACCAACATGTACTTAGAATCGTACCATAAGGTTTTGAAACATATTTACTTGGAAGGTAAAAAATGTAAGCGCATTGATAAAACAATTAATGCAGTGATGAAGTTAGCTCGTGACAGTATGTTTAAAAGACTCATCAAGGTAGCAAAAAATGCATCAAATTCTAAAAGTAGAAAAATTCATGAAAGCCATAAAAGCAGTGAATCGATTTCATCAGATAAAATACAGATCCTTGAAGGTGGACAGTCATGGATAGTAAATTCGTTAACAAATCCCTCTGAAAAATATTGTGTTGCCAGAGCTGATAAAACATGCAATGAACCCTGTCTGAAATGTTCAGTGTGTAATATTTGCATACATACATTTACATGTGAATGTATTGACAATATAATTAAACTAAACATTTGTAAACACATACATGCTTGTGCACAAGCATTCAACAAACTACCTGATTACAGCAGTAATACATTTTATTAGGAAGATACAATTATCGGAGAACAAGAAGAATTGATAGAGATGATTTCTCAGCCTTCTATGAAATGTACTACACTTAGTACACCTGGCATAAGTGGAAAAATTATTAATAAAGTAGAGCTTATCCGTAGTCTATGCGCTACAAGCAAAGTTAGTGAGGAGGAAGACATGTTGCTTAATAAAAAATTGGATGATATTATAAATATGTTAAACAAAACAAAAAAACTCCATCTTAATACTGTTGAAAATGTAAATATCCAAAAAAAAANACTTTACACTTCAAAAAATAATACACTTCAATATTACGAATATGAGGAATCACTACGTTTTTATCCACTGTGAATATCACAGTGTGAATAAAAAGCACCTTCTACAGAAATATAAATATCACTGGCAATCCCAATACTAATAATACATGTTGGTACTATATATTACTACTAAAACATTTGGGACCTATGATTATTTACAATAAATAATAGTTATAATACTATTTAAATTTATGCGGGAAATTTTGGTATATTATCATATTATGCATAGAACCTTATATTATAAACCGTGATTTATTAATTATAAACATAAGAATTATGGTTCTATGATAATATAGACACTGAGATAGATAAAAATATACTTATCACGGTTAAAGATATACAGGTTAGCTATCGCTGGCCCGCCACTCGGTCAGATTGTGTTACCATTCAGTAGTTCATATTTTCACCACACGCGTAAGGCGCTAGTAGTAAGTAGGGTCATATTTTACTATTGGTAATATTAGTACATCGTAGTATCGGTACATTTCTAGTTGCTACATAATAGAATATTAGAATTTATATGATCATACATTTAATATAACTTATAATTAAAAAATATATTTATTCCAATATTAATATTACTCGGGGATGGTACTGGAGAAAATAAAAAATATTCAATCATCTTCAAAACATTTTAAATAATCCTTAGGCCCAGCTAATAATTACATAAGTTATTATTAATATTTTGTTTATGATATTAAAAAGCTATAATTGAGTATGTGGTCTACCTACCTTATATAACTAAAATTATGTTATCGTGCATCCATTTTAACTGAAACAAAAATGATTCAAATTAATATTTATCAGGTTGTTAGTTTCAAATTTTTATTTTTAACCATCACTAAAACAGCCGTCAACCGCCAATCAAAAACTACAAATAATAAATAATAATAATAAGCAGTTATATAAGCAGTTATAAAACATCTTTTAAGCAGAGACCAATTTAGCAATTTTCTTCTTCTCTCTGCTATTATTTTTTTCTTTTCGATTGTCTTGTACAGCAAAGTGTCGCATTCGCATGATTAAATAATTAGTTAAAATAGATGAAACAACTTGGCTTTTGTGTTCATTACAAGGGAATGAAATAAGAAAATGTAGAACATCATCTACAGTGAGATCAAATACATTTTTAAGTTGGCAATGTGTAGCAAAACTTTCTTCAACTTTAGTTAAAAAATTAAATAAATGTATGTTGGGATGAGTTAGGCCTCCTTTTGATTTCAAGTTAACCAATTCCGCTTCAGGAATATCTATATACTTCTGGTTATTTTTTAATGCGTTCAAGCAAAGGATGCAAGATGTATTTTTAATAATTTTTTTTGTCACATACCCGGTAGCATAGTAAATAATACAATTTAATGCAGAAGCTTCGTTGTAATTATGGTCTTCAAATATTTCATCGGCTTCCCAAGAACCTTCATCAATAAGTAAATCTACTTTAAGTTTCAAATTAGAAAGCTTTTGTTGTCTTATAGTCGATTCAGAATGAAATATTTCTTTTAATTCGGACAATGCTATTTTTGGAGCCTTGCTATCAAGAATAGTGCAATTGCCTGACTTGGGTGGCCGTAGCACAGAATATATAGATAAGATTCGATAAATGTGTAAAAAAGTAGGGCCTGTTGGGTGATCATTAGGCCCTGCTGCTTGTCTGATCATGCCAAAAAATTTCTAAAATTCAAACAGAAAAAAAATTATAATAAATGTCACAAAATCATAGTTTGAGACAAATATAGGTACTTCTAATGGATCTTGGTTCATTTTGCCTGTTAATACGTATTTGAATCCACAGTCATATAATAAATATCTGCAAAGTTCTATTGATGATCGTAGTGTAACACGAAGTCCTTCCGCTGTAGAGCAAGTGAGAAATTCATTTGGACTTATTTTTGAATCATGTACCAATTGTTCCCAGTCATTAAGCCAAACTTCTGCATCTTCCAAAATCTGTCAATTAAAAATATAACACATAATAAGTATTTTATTTCAATAATTATTTTGGTAAACAATAAATAAAGTAATACATATAAGGAATAAGCATGAATAGTAATAATAAAAAACAAATGTATATTAATGAAAATAATAGTTAATAATTGTTATTCAATACCTTAAAGTCATTACTGGATTTGGTAATACCTTCAGAGGTATAACGGCGATTTAAGGTGTCAAACAAATTGTTTAGAAATAATGTAAAGTCTTGGGTTTCTTCACTACCTCCTAAACCAACAATTTTCTTCCGCCTATAAAACTCTATACCGCAAGCCATCGATCGACTGAACACCTGAATAATAATTGGATACATTAATACGTAAATGTTAATAAATGGTAGTACTTCCTAATGTACAAACATTAGATCATAAGTGAGTTTTCTATAAATAAATATTAACATTTACTACAAAACTGAAAGTATATTGAATAAATATTTTGAAATTTATTTAAGTTATATTGAATTTTTTTTTATTATTATTGAATATTTTAAAATATTTTACTTGTGTCATTAAACGAACTCGCATTTTCATTAAATTGGACAAATATAAATGTTCTTTAGTAACCTTTGGAATGGCACGTGCATTGCCAGGATGAATTACATCTGCATTATAGGCCTCAATATAATGAAACCAACTGACACATTTTCGATCAGGATTCACCTTAAATTAATACATTTAAACATTATAACATAATTCATACTAAATATTAACAAAAATATTACTTTAAGATATTTTTTGTCGTGTAAGCGGTTTCTTATATTTTTGAAAAGGTGTGGAACATCCGATAACACAAATACTTTTCTGTTTTCCTGAGTAGGATGTATAAAATAGTTCTGGACCGCTCCTAATTTACCACTAATCCCAAATTGGGTCCACATTTTTCGGTTTGTAGCAGCACCATCACAAATTATACCATCAATAAGGCAACCAGAAGATTCTAACATCATTATTGCTTTTAATACAAGCTGGGCCAGTACAGTTCCTGTAATATTAAAATTTTAAATAAGTTAATTTAAAAACAAATACAATTTAAAAAAAATTACCTTTAACCGAATTAGAAGAAGCAAATACAGCAATAGGCTGAGAGAATTTATCTGCTAGACCTTGAAAAAAAAAAACTAACCCATGGTCAGCTTTATTCTCTGAAACCTCAGTTTCACCTCCCATATCTTCTAAGCCAGAATAAGTTAAATCTCGTGTGTTTACATATAGGCCTTTTCTTAGTTGAATTTCGTCGAACAAGAGAACTCCATGTCGTTGTTCCAGAGATTTATGAGACATCCTTCTTTTGAGTAGCTCAAAAAACTGAAGATCAAATCCACAATTAGTTTTGACCATAGATAAATGTTTGCGAATCGTAGATGTACAGGGCAAAGGCATTAGATCTTGTTCCCGA